CCCCGTGAAGCCTGGCTGCAGTATACTTGCATCACACATATCTCCTGTTGTCAGTGGTCTTCCGCATTCGTAACAATGGTGATGATGTCTACCGTGAACATGTAATACGAACACGAACACTAAATCCTCACATTTACAAACCTCCTCCCCTACACCGTCTTCTTCGTAGCAACTGCTACACAACACCAACGTTGTATTTTCATGCAAGATTAACAACACCTTCCCTTCGGTAGACGGGTATTCGTTAATGTTGTCACACACACTACGTCTCAGAATAATGGATTAAAGCATTAAATAAAGTTAAGTAAGTAAAAGCAAGTTTTTACTTATAATTTATTTGAAAATTGTTGAAAATTTTTGAAAATCATATATTTTTTGGGAACCAAGTTCTAAGAATTATAGAAGATCACGTATTTGCAGCCAGCACTTTGTAGGAGGTGCAAAATCAGAACACCCTGACAGTCCTGCATATCTTCCAACAATACTCCCCGAAAAATATTACGGCAAACAAAGAAATACTCAAAAAGCGCAATTAGCAGCACAAAATAGGTTTTTTTTATTTATTCACTCAAAAAATAATGAAATTATTAACACTTTATCCTATATAAGAATATTTTTTGATCATAGGTTTGCAAGAACAATGCGAAGACAACAAACTCTGAATCGATCTCAACCGAAAAAAAAAGAGCTTATTAAAGTAAAGGCACAGAATAACGAGCCAAATGAAAATATGGAGCTCTTATCTGATTGTTGACATTGTCGTCAGCATATTCTTCGACGTGCTTGATGTGACAAAAAGCCAATTTTTCTCCTTTTTTTGCAGTTTCCCTAGTAAAAGGAATTGAATGTTTAATGTTTTCAAACCCAGTTCGCAAGATAAACGACGTCATAGTTAGAGGTTATGCTGTCAATATAAAACATTAATTACTTATTTATTAGACACTTTAATGAAGAAAAAAAACTATTTGAAATAAATTATTTTTACGTATCTTTTATTTTTAATTCTTTTTACCGATTTATCACATCTAAATAAAATAATATATCGTTATTTAATAATTTCTCGATATAACACAATGATACAAAATAGGTCAGTAATTATTTTTTTTGTCGCAAGAGGCGCTAGCAGGCTTCACGCTCATAGCCTATACAAAAAAATAAATACAAGAAAATTGAAAACTATTAAAATGTCAACATATTATAAAAATTCTGTTCGCGGATTTTCTTTAAATTCAGTCCATGTTACACCAATACGTCTTAATTCTGTACTCATTCAAGAATACCAAGGACTATTAGGACCTGGATTAAAAGACATTGTTAAAGAATTGAACTCACCTAAGTAACAGCAACAGCGTGAACTATATGATTAAATATATTGTACATAACATACATGCTTATAAATACCTGAGTTATCATAGATTATGCGCTTTGGACTGTACTGCTTATCATGCGTGTCTTCGAAAGTCTCACGTTCTTCAACCGGTGTGTTTAGATAAGCTTGTATTTTATTTATTTCATGTAGTTTATATAAAGTCTTACATTGCATATTTAAATGAAATGTATTAAGTAATCTTTCAGAAGATGGTGTACTGCGAGATTTCCAGGGGGGCAGCTGCCCTCCCCTGGCCCCCCTGGAACACCCATGGTATGGTATGATCATTCTTATAATTCAAGTTGCAATTTGAATGCGCTGGACCACTATAATTTCCTGTTAAACGAGAGTAATCCATTACCATTTTCAATACCACATGATTTACAACAAATGTGACCATTTGTAGCAGCAGGATATTGAGTTTCTTGTTAATATGATAATTTTTTAATTGGAATAATATTTCAGACTATATTTTTAAATTCGAAAGCTAAAGTTTAAAGTTCCTTAACGAACCATGCAAGACAATCCTTCCCTGTGTATAACTGAAATTTAGAAAGAGTATCGTCATAATAACACTTTAGATAATATGCAATACTGAAAGGCTCGCGTTTCTGATACTTTTGGATTTTACTTGTACATTTTACACAGTGTGTCCTAAAAATAACCGAATTTTTTGGATATANATTAGTAACAACATGCGTTTTTTTCTTTCGTCCATTTTGGTCATGTATCAAAACAAAACTAAACCGTGAAAAACCGTGTGCAGTGTGAACGCAAAGCAAAATGAAATTACGGCACGGCACGGCACGGTTGCCGTTAGAAAACCGTCTGTGTGAAAGCAGGGTTAGTAGTTAAGCTATGTCGGAGCTACGACAGTGGATGACACCCCCATTCTCTTTTTACCTTTGTTTGGGCTGAAGGCTGCCGGTCGGCCGCTAAAGAAGTTTTTCAATGTCATTCTCGTCGGTAGTGAGGCGAAGAAGTATATAGAGACTACGCCCCATTTGTGAACAATACCAGATCTGTTGTTGACTAAGAAGAGAGCCTCTGGTGATGTTGGTGTTTCTGAAAGAAGTCCTTCAAAATGATTCGTCGCGTCGATGAGAAGGTTACTGGTTGTTTTCTCAGACTAGCAAGAATTCTTTCAAGGTCATTCTGCTAAGCCGAAGAAGAATAATCTGCACATACCACATGCTGATGTAAAACATCTACAGCTACCATCTCTCTTGTTGACGTTGTCTTTTCTATTGTTGTAGGGTATGTTTATTAATTAATTTATAACAAGTAGAGAAGATGCAAAATATTAATAAATGTTGAATGTTGGTTTGATGTATGTGAAGATGATAAATGCTAAAAGATGTGACTGTGTCGCGTCCTGGTTAATCGTAGACGTCAGGGTGAATAATCTTAGTGACAGGTTTGAATTCGCACTAAATCTCGTCTGGTGGTCACAGATCTGGCGAACACTTCCGGTAGCCCTTCGTGGTAGTTGCCACCGTGTCTGTTTGCGCTGGCGTCGCTTGTGTGCAGTATCGTCGACTACCCGTAGGTCTACAAGAGCGCGAAGTCGAGATCACCACAAAATGTTAGATAAAATAAGTTTGTTTCCCTTTTTTTCTTTATTTTAAAAGAATTAGGATTTTTTAGGTACTTGGTGGTGGTGGTGAAAATAAAACAGTAATATTTGTTTGATACATATTTTTGAAATAGAATAATTCATTCATTCATTCATTTCCTTTTTTATACACGTTTGTACTATACAATTCGTTAACGGAGGAAGTGACTTCCTGTTATTTACCTTTATTTATTATTAATAAGTAGATGTTTATAATACGAACACAATTAGATACTGAACACATCACAGTTTTATAATTTACAGGCGATATACAAAGAGTTGGTTCCCTTTCTAACTTAGGCATAATACAATTATTTCTTGTAGCAGGTGATGGCTGCCTAATTTTACATCGTGATCAATGCTGTAGAAGTTTTCTTTGGTCACCCCTTTTTAGAATACGGTTGATGTTTCATAACCCTAATTAGAGGAGGACATCAATATTTGGTTGTTGTTTTTAACGTTTTTGAACTTTGCCATTTTGAATATTTTGTGACGTAATTGAACTTTAGTCTTTTGGATTTTTGTGTAGATAAGAGGAAACGTCACAAAACAGGACTAAGATTTACTGAGAGTTCAAATTTTGTAGTAAATAATGAAACACATGGAAGTACTTTTATTTTTTTAATTTAGTAATATGTACGAGTAGTTTCACGGGTTACAGTGAAGTCGTTGTATTTACAAGTATATTTGTCTTTCACATTGTTCCACGCAAACAAGATCGAGTTTTTCCCCACATTTCGTAATGTCCATCATTTTTGTAATAGTCAATACTGGCCGATGTAAAATATCTAAGAACCAAAAATAGATTATTAATAACATAGATAATTTACAGGAATGTATGTCCCACTAAATAGTTGGAATGAAATTAGCTCCGCTCTCCCTTTATAGTTCATTGCAAATTTTGTTGATTTATTTATAAAATCTAGTCGCTCGTCGCTGAACGTTTCGTACATTTGTTTTGGTAAAAATNTTTTCTTTTCCTTCTTCGCTCATTTTCGAGGACTTTCCTTTACCTTTTCCTTTTCCTTTACCTTTGCCTTTTCCTTTAGTTTTGTCACACGTTTTTTTGGTCTTTGCCAGTTTTTCTTCATACTGTTTTTTTAATGAGTCTTGTTCAGGTGTGTCGGTTAACACAGCGGATTTGCGTTTGCGAATTTTTAAAATAAGAAAACGAACGGTACAATACCAGATATGGTAATATGTTACATGTAACAACTTACCCCAAACAATTGTAACTACTTGCCCCATGGCACGTTTTTTAATATAAATTGAAGTCATTATTAATGGATATCGATAGTAGAATAAAACAATATTGTAAATTAAAGGTAGATATATTATGAACGTTCAAGGTTAAAAATTTTGACAAAATAAAAAATATAGTCATCAGGAATCAAAAATTTCGAAAAGGATTTTTTTACTTGGTTGAAATCGGGACACACGCACACAACGTAGCAGCTTAGCGCTTGGCGGGTCACTGATTGCTTTTATGTAATGCACGATGTTATAAGAAAACGAATGAGTCCAATTATGTCCATCAAAGAGTTTAAAATCCCGGTAAAAAACGCGTGTAACATCTTACCCCTGTAACAACGTGCCCCCCGCTCCCCTATTTATATTATAGAATAACGCACTAATTCATGATTTAACTTTGTTTATTGATTTCCTGTTCGCTGTTTTTTTAACGCAGTTGATACGTTTTCCTTGCTTTGTATTTCAAATGGTAAATCTTGATAATTGTATTCTTGTTTTCGTGTTATTCAAATAGTACATTTGATTGGTTTTCTGTTTATTTTGAATGCAATTTTCAATGCAAAAGTATTATACAAGTCATGCTGAAGTTCTGTTACACCCATTTGGCCATATATTTTTTCATCAATTTGGCGTCGAATGGGCTCAATAATTCGGCATAGTATAGTCCTGTGACCATTTTACCCTTCTCCAGGTAGTCGATGTGGATCACACCTTGTGAATCCCAGAAAGCGGTGGCCATCACTCTTCCCCTTCCGGCCGATGGGACAGTCTTTGCCTTCTTAGGAGCCCGTTCGCCGGGTGAAGTCCACTGTTTCGACTGCTCCTCGGTCTCTTGTGCACCTGTGGATCCATGTTTTGTCGACTATCACTAAACGGCGTACATCGGGTCCGGCGGAATCAGACATCTTGGTTCTTGGTTCCAGATGTCCTCTTCAGTAATGGGAGCATTCAAAAGGTTTTGTGATGGAGGTTTCGCGTCACCCAAGATTGGAAGGCCCTCGACAGTGTCGGGCGCGGCGAAAATCCGAGAATATGTTTTGAGGAGATCATTTGGATGGGGCTGGTCGGTGGTTGTTCAAGCATGGTCATCTAAAATTTTGTCAACTGAATTTGGAGCATAAATAACACTAAGAGCTTCTTTGAGTCCATTTCCTTCCATTATATATCCTGTAGATCCAAGAAACGACATAAGCATATGAAAACCACATAGTCTTACAATAACGTTGGATATATCAGATTGAACATCAGCAGCAGCTACAATTTCGCGAGCTTTATAGTAAAGTGGCTGATTAAAAGTAATGGTGTAACAATTTTGTCCATGTGATTTGGCACTACGTAGTGGACAATCTAATGTGGTGTAAATTGTATCTTTCTTACTTGCAAGATCATGAACAAAGGGTAGTAACATTACGGTCGATGTTGTAAAGTTTTTATTATTTTTTGTTAGCTTCTCTAAAAATCCACTTTGACACGGTGACCATTTGCATCTCTCCACTTTACGCATGCTCGCAATTAGTCAACCTTACTACAAATTGCTTCATTTAAAATAACATTATAATCGATTTCCTGAACTATAATCTTACTCATTCCAGCTACTTCATTATTTTCGTAAGTTAAAATATGTATGGATACAAGATATTAAAGATAAACCGGCAAACGAAGTTGATAATGGTATGAAACGCATATTGGAAACTTGAAATTCAACTCCCACAAATTTAGAAACTGATCAGGGAAAAGAGTACTACAATTATCAATTTTAATCTTTAATGGAAAAATATAAAATTAATCACTATAGCAGTTACTCAGTGAAAAAAGCGTCCATTGTTGAACGTGTAATTAGAACAATAAAAACTAAA